TTGCTTGTTTTTTCTCCCCTTTATGGCTGTTGAGGTATCAGATGTTCCACTGCTCTCTCTCTGAAGTGAGGGCAAAGCTTGTGTGAGCAAAATCATAATCACAGGCTCCTCCTTATAAATTAAACAGCACTCTATTAGACATTGCAGAGGAATTTTAGTATTGATGGGCATCTATCTTTCGGGAAATTCCGTTTGCAGTTATACGTAGATCTCAGTGAGTGATAAGTTTATTGGAAACCTCAGAACTAAGCACATTTCCTCATGGGCAAAGACTTTGCTTGAATTCAGCTCCAGAACAACTTTTTTTCATTCTGGTTTGCCTGCCTTTGGTCATTATGACATCGTAGTGTTCTGTAAGAACCACGGTTACTGATGCCTTGGTAACATCTAATGTTAACTGTTGTAAGACATTGCACAACACAGTCTTGGAAGGCTAGGATCTGCAGTTCGCACAGAATACAGCTGCTAAGTTACAGATTGTGAATTTCCTTCACCAGTGGTCCATTGGTAGCCAAAGGCCTGCCTAAGGGAAAGATAGCAGTGAGTAGATCAGCCTTGCTTCTCTTGGCAGGTAGTTCCAAATCTAGGAGCAGATAGGTATGTTTTCCATCTGTTCCTGAAAAAATTTGTTGTTGTTCATTCGTTCAGTCATTTCCAACTCTTTGTGACCTCATGGACCAGTCCATGCCAAAGCTCCCTGTCGGCCGTCACCACCCCCAGCTCCTTCAAGGTCAATCCAGTCACTTTCAAGGATCCCATCCATCCATCTTGCCCTTGGTCGGCCCCTCTTCCTTTTTCCTTCCATTTTCCCCAGCATAATTGTCTTCTCTAAGCTAACCTTTCTTCTCATGATGTGGCCAAAGTGCTTCATCTTTGCCTCTAATATCCTCTCTCTCTCTCTCTCTCTCTCTCTCTATATATATATATATATATATATATATATATTCCTGAAAATAACAATAATGGGTAGTATTTTTCACAATATGGGCCACTTTGTACTTCTTTTAATGACTGGGAACTAAACCTTAGATGTATGTGATACTACCAAGAAGGGGAAGACGAAGAAACATTTAGGACAAAATGAGTCTGTAAGGGAGAAGCTGTTGCTCAGGTAAATAGACTCTAAGTTGTTTAGGGCTTTATAAACTAGCAACAAAACTCTGGCCTGGTAAAAAATAAACTGTGCTGTGCCTTCTGGAGATGTGTTAAATACTTCTAGTAGATCTTCCTTCTCAGAAGCTTATTGGAAGCATTCAGTACCGACGACAGCTTTCTGATCAATGAAGCAGGACACAAATAGTCAATCTTGAAGCTACCAATATCTGGAACTCTGTGGCCAATGTATCCCAATCAAGGAATGGTCATAGCTAACATAGTGACTCAGGGTGGTATTGTTCCTCTTGTTCCCACTTGAATGCTTAAAATTGCTAAATCTTCTAAAATCTAGTCAAGCGAAGAAAAAAAATAGTGTTGTGGTTCCTTAAATACTGTTGTTTGCTGAACAAGCACACGACATAAACACTATAATGGCAGATGTGCATCTCTTGGTATTTGAAATGGGGGAGTATTCATGTAATATTGGAATTACTTCTCGACATCAATTTCCCCTGAAATTGTTTAGCTTTTAATTTTTAAATTGCAACAAATTATCCATCAGTCCATCTCAGTATCATTCATGTGATACTTTGTTGTTAATTAGGAAAAGTGGATACTGGAGGGCAGTTTGGATTAATAAGAACCAAGCAATTGTGCTGACTTGCTAACACCAAATAGGAAATTTCATTAGCATTTATACGTTATCACATATCTTTGTTTCCCTTCCTGTTCTCTATCATTGTTTATGACTAGCTAGTGTTGGACACAGATAATCGCATTATAATGAACACTTTTAAATTCATCAAGATTTTTTTTTATTTAAGTAGAGGCATACCAAAGGTTACTGAAAGGTTGTATCATACAATAGAACTCAATCAAATATATTCCCCTCCTTTGGACAAATGTGTTTTACTCTCCATGCAACAACAGAGCTCCTGAATCACAAATCTGACTGTCTTTATAGATAATTCCATATCAATACTTTTAGAAAATGGCATTCATAACCATTTGGGAAATCAGGAATATCCCTGAGAAGTTAAAAACTTGCTTGAGTCAACCTTCTCCTTAATGGTAAATATCTACTAGTGGTCATGCAAGGCAATTAGGTATCTCAGCTGTAAAACTGCTATCTCTTTGAACTGTTAGGGACAAAGATATGCCAGTGCATAGACAGATAGATAGTAGAATTTTAGAAGTGTTATCAGAGGCGGCCCTAGGTAATTTTCAACGGTAAGCATACAGTATTTTGCCCCCTCTCCCCCCCCCCCCCCCACAACCAACTGATAAATATTTCTGTTCACCGTGGGAGTTCTGTGTGCCATATTTGGTTCAATTCCATCATTGGTGGAGTTCAGAATTCTCTTTGATTGTAGGTGAACTATAGATCCCAGTAACTACAACTCGCATATGTCAAGGTCTATTTTCCCCCAAAGAGCGCCTCAAGAGGGCCCCTGGGCAAAATCAACTATACTGCAAATGCTTACTTTGCGTAATGGGTTGAGCCGCCCCTGAGCGTTATTTTCAGTTCCCAAAAACATCTACTCTCTTGGGTTAAATCATGCTCTCAAGAGACAAAAAATAAAATAAAAATAAAGCAGACTTCTTAAAAGTAACATAGTTGGTTTACTCACAAACTTCATGTATTAAACACACAGGTACCTTGCATATCAATCCAGGTACAGATAGGATTTGAAGTAGTTTCTCTGTGTGGATAACACAGGTCATATTTCTTATAATTAACAGTCCATAGTCGAAAGCATCTCTCTGGTCTGAAAGCCTTGTAGAATATCTGTCTGTTCTGAAAGTTTAATGGCGTCTGAACTGTATTGTTTCTACTGATTGCTGAACTGTACTGTTTCAGAAATGGAGTCTGAGTTCTGAATAGTCCCAGATCTTATCACATGGTCTTCAACCCTCCCACAACATAGAGTTAAGGAAAACTGCATGCCAATACACACCTATACAATACAGTAAGCGACTTGAATTATATACATAACAAGAAAATCTGTACCCAGTATCAGAAAGATCCTCCCCAATCTTCTAATTGTCCCATAAACTTTGGATAGAAAGTGGCATGTGACCTGGCACAATGATGTCATTCTTACCTCGAATCCACCTAGACACTCTATGCTTGTCTGCATAGGAAAATGCATTTGTAAACTAGATAATACTGCTCTTTGAAGTGGTTGGATAGTTAAGAACTTAAGCCCAGTCTCAAATCTATATAAATAAAAATGTAATGTTCGTTTGTGATACCATCAGAACTCAAAAACCACTGGGGGAATTGACACCAAATTTGGACACAAGACACCTAACAACCCAATGTATGTCCTCCACTCAAAAAATTGATTTTGTCATTTAGGAATTGTTGTTGCTGGGATTTATAGTTCACCTGCAATCAAAGAGCATTCTGAACTCCATCAATGATGGAATTGAACCAAACTTGGCACACAGGACTCCCCTGACCAACGGAAAACACTAGAAGGGTTTGGTGGGCATTGACCTTGAGTTTTGGATTTGTAGTTCACCTACATCTAGAGAGCACTGTGGACTCAAACAATGATGGATCTGGACCAAACTTGGCACGAATACTCACTATGCCCAAATATAAACACAGATTGAGTTTGGGGAAAATAGACCTTGACATTTGGGAGTTGTAGTTAGTTTGATTTATAGTTCACCTGCAATCAAGGAGCATTCTGAACCCCACCAACGGCAGAATTGGGTCAAACTTCCCACACAGAACCCCCATGACCAACAGAACATACTTAAGGCCATCCAGTCCAACTCCCTTCACCAGGGCAAGAAAACGCAATCAAAGTCCTCCTGACAAAGAGCCATCCAGTCATAGATAGATATAGATATAGAGATAGATAGATAGATAGATAGATAGATAGATAGATAGATAGATAGGTAGATAGACAGATATGATTCACACACACATAGATGTAGTATCATAGATTTGAAACGGACCCTTAAAGAAGTACAGTGATATCTTGCATCAGGCCCGTAGCCAGGATTTCGTTTCGGGGGGGGGGGGGGGGGGGAAATTTTTTTCAGGGGGGGTTTGGGGGGGCTGAGTTTCGGGGGGGGCTGAGTCTGAGTGAAAGAGGGTCTAGCCTAGCAAACCTTTTGTATCATTACCCCAATACCCCCATGCATATGGGATATATTGAGTATGGTGATCAGATCATGATATGAATAACATAACAGTTTAAATAATGTACCAGTAAGGCCTTTTCGCAGACCACCATGAGAATTTCGGGGGGGGGGCTGAAGCCCCCAAAGCCTCCCCCCCCCCCCCCCCGGCTACATGCCTGTCTTGCATGTTCCAGGGTGGGCAAACCAGACACTCTCCACATCAACACTCACAAAGAAACAGCAAGAAATACTGTTGACCCACAAGCATAAAGAAATTACATATATTAGAAACCAACGCTTTCTCATTACTTTATTTTCCAGATCAACAGACTGGGCACAGCCACGCATGGCAGGGGACAGCTAGTGCAGTAATAAATGCAATAGCTGTCTTCAATAGCTTTAAAATTTAGTAGCTTGTATTCTGGTAAAGAAGTTGTGGGAGACAACGTCTTCCATTGGACAGATAGCGAAGGACCATGCTAGTCCCTAGTCAATAATGTTAAGGCTATGCCAAATCATTTACCTTCCCAGTTTGGCTCCTTACATTGCAAATGAGAAGTACCATGTCCTGCTTTACATGGTTGTTGGAGCAAAATGAGATGGGCATGAATGCACATATTAAATCATACAAAGTTCTATATCAATCACAGTAAGTGCAAAACAAATACGAAGAACATATTTTGCATTATCTGTCTGCTGGAGAGGCAAGTGTTGATTGTGCAGTTCACTTTCAGTGAATGATGACCTTTCTTTCTTTTTCTCAGGTTGTTAGCAGAGTGGCGGCACAGCAGGGCTTTGACCTGGACCTTGGATACAGGCTGCTGGCGGTTTGTGCAGCCAACAGGGACAAGTTCACACCAAAATCCGCTGGTAGGAAAAGCTGGTTTTCTTTCTCAAATTGGCCTCTGGCTGGGGAGAATCGTGACACACTTTGTCATGTTCTTTGCTCTTCTGTCAGAATTGGTTAGGGTTCTGTCATCTACGTCCGCGTTCCTCCTCGGGCTTCTCCATGCCAGCAATTCATAGAAGTGGTATCCAGGGAGATAGAAGGGATAGGTGGGCATATGCACCACCCAGGTAGAGATTTCATTGATGTTTCAACTGCAGTAAGATGAATCCCAGAAGAACAGCCTTTCTGAGACTTTCAACTCTCAAAGACTTTTTATTATATAAAAAAACTGTCTGCAGCAGGTTTAAAATAGGCCCAAGTGATTTGTGATAAAACTCACCTAGCCAGCAGATGAGTTGGTAAGGACCAAGTAAACCAATTGCTGAAGTGATCAGAAACAATAATTATTTTTTTTGAATTGCCTATCTATATCTATATATATATTAAAAAAAAGAATGTTTGTATGTGGAGGAGGGAGGGCGGACGTAGGGAGGACAGAGGGAGGTGTATGTGGCAGCTTTCTGATTGGCTGCCACTTTAACAGCACGGGTGACGGATCTGGACCAAACTTGGCACACATAACCCCCATGACCCCCTTAACGTCCTGGTGAGGTTTGGGAGGAGGATGGACAGTGGTTGATGGTATTTGTAGTACTTTCAAACATTCAATTCCCACAGACCACTGTGGCTCCCAACAAACACCAATAAAGACCAAACTTGGAGGAGAGACAAACAATGCCTTTCTCAAATAACCCGGGCAGCACCGGGTCCCCAAGCTAGTATTCTTATAAATGAGGAATCTGATGTGCTGTTAGGCTCTTTTCATATAGCATACATGAAAGACAATATCATGGATTTGAGTGGGAAAATGGTATATCTCTTTTTATGAATGACTGTCTCACACATGCGGAATATAAACATGTGGGAAGTTGGGTGTATCTGTGGCACTGAAGTGACAGGTTCCATCCTCCTGAAAAGGCAATTACGGTATAAATGGAGAAGATTCTATGGGAAAAACTGTCAACAAAGCTTTTAATTGTACAAATGCCTCCTGTCTGGAAAAAAAATCTCTTTCTAAAGATTATCTCTAGGCAGAAATACTTATTTTGCTGGCAAATGCTTGCTTCCGAGATGTATATTTACACAAGTCACATTTGTGTGTTACTTTAAAACATTGTTTTTTTTGGGGGGGGGTGCTCTGAAAGCATTGTCTCCTCGGAGAGATAGGGCGGGATATAAAGAAAGTTTTATTATTATTTTATTATTGTTATTGAGGGTTTTAAAAGTCATTATAAATTAATGTGGCATGGCCAGAAACCAGGGCAACTAGTACAGCTAGCAAGCAACATTTGGAGAAAGAAAACATAAGGAGTAATGACTATCTTAAAAAATTAAATGCTAAATTCCGAATTTGAGATTGTAAGGGGGAGATTTGTATACGTTGTTCCTATCCATTTATTAGTCCCCAGTAGAGATGCCCCAATGAATCGTTCGTTGGGTCAACCATTTTATAGGAGCTACGGTGGCGCAATGGGTTAAGCCCTTGTGCTGGTTGAACTGCTGACCAGAAGACCTGAAGGTTGAGGTTTCGAATCCATGAGATGGGGTGAGCTCCCATTTGTAAGCCCCAGCTTCCCAAGTGGGGACATGAGCGAAACCTCCCACAGGATGGTAACATATCCAGGCGTCCCCTGGGCAACATCCTTGCAGACTGCCAACTCTCTCACATCAGAAGTGACTTGCAGTATATTCCCAAGCCATTTTTAACATGATTAAAAAAATTGTCAATCCAAGTGAGTCCATGGGTCTTCTTTCCTTGGGACTAGTAACTGGATTTGGGCTATTTATTTCTGAAGTGGAGCTCAAGTGTTTATTGTGACACGAACATGAAGGTTTGTTTTATTCAAAACAGTTGTGATTGTTACTGTTGTGCTTATGCATAGCTTTCTGTGTGCGTTCCTTGTCATTCTTTTTGCAATATTTAGAATTTGGTAAAGCAAAGCAAGAATCTGATGAACTCTCCGCTGGGTTCACATCTCTAGACATCTGCTCAGTGAAATTGTTGTTTAAGGTTTGCTGTGTTCTTTTTAAAGGCATAAGCTCTTGTTTACAACCCTCTATTTGTCTCAAGTTTTTAATCCTATTTACAATCATAAATTTGCTTTAACAGTTTGGTGTTAGAAACACTTCACACATGATGCTCAAGTATAGGCTTTTTTAAAAAAAAAAATTAAACAGCATCTTTTTCCAGTTGGTTGACTGAAGATATTCAGACTAAATAAATATTATTGTTGACTGCTCTATTTTCTGCTATAATTTTTGGTGGGCTTCATTGTTGCTGCTGTTGTTCGTAGCCAGATGACATTTCTTTTGTCCCTGATCATTCAATGGCAGCTTCCAGCATAAGTAGCAACATATTATACCTACTTAGAGGGCAGTGTGTATATATGTTTTATTTCCAGATATATCGCAGCAAACATATTTTCTTGAAATTCTTCATTTCAGTGTTTACATAGGTAGGGTTTTTGACTTCAGACATATATTTAAATGAAGAATGTATTGTTATTTCTCAGTGTGTATCTATATGCGAGAGTCTTACACAAATGAGTGCTAGGGTAGAGGGTGTTTTATCTCAGGTATGTGTGAGAAAATACTTGAAGAGATTAGCCTTCCTATCCTAAAAGAGTGCAGTGCCCCACATCTAGGTTCAAGGATCTTCACAATCTAGAGCAGGCATGGGCAAACTGCCTAACTTGGGGGGTGCATGGTGGGCTGGAGTGGGGTGGCTGGGGCAGGAGGGAGGGGGTTCCCCCCAAGTCCCCTCCCTGTCCTTTCCCCCCTCCTCATCTCTTTTGGAGGCAGAAAGTGAAGGAAAGACAGGAAAGGTTTGGATCCCAAAAAAGTTAGCCTTGGTCAGGATGACATGGTGGACAAGAGAGAAAAAGTGTCTCCATTAGACTCCGTAGTGTCTACTCCTGATATAGAATTCTAGAGCTGGAAGAGATCCCCAAGGGCCATCCAGTCCAACCCCCTGCCATGCAGGAAGGCACAATCAAAGCACTCCTGATAGATAGTCTTTGTGGGAAAGCCTCCAGAGAAGAAGACTCCACACACTCCGAGGCAGCCTATGCTACTCGCAAGAAGTTCTTCCTAATCTTTTCAGTCAAATCTCTTTCTTTGCCATTTGAACCCATTGCTCCCTTGTGCCCAGGCATGTAGCCGGGGGGGGGGGGGCTATAGGGGCTTCAGCTCCCCCCGAAATTCTCATGGTGGTCCGCGAGAAGGCCTTACTGATACATTATTTAAACTGTTATGTTTATTCATATCATGATCTGATCACCATGCTCAATATATCCCATATGCATGGGGGTATTGGGGTAATGATACAAAAGGTTTGCTAGTGTAGACCCTCTTTCACTCAGACTCCCCCCCCCCCCCCCCCCGGAATCAAACTCAGCCGCTCCCGAAACAAAATCCTGGCTACGGGCCTGCTTGTGCACTAGTCTCTAGAGCAGCAGAAAGTCAGTTTTCCTCCTCCTCCTCCTCCTCCTCCTCCTCAATGGGACACCCATTTAAATCTTGAAACATGGTTTTCGTGTTCACTCTCTACCTTCTCTTCTTCCAGCTAAACATCCCCCAGGAGGAAAGGAGGAAGGAAAAAGAGAAGGAAGGAAGAGAAGGGAGGAAGGAAGGGTGGAATGGAATGGAGGGAGGAAGGGAGGGAAAGAGGAAAGACAAAGGGGAAAGAAGGAAGGCAAAAGAGGACAGGAAGGAAGGAGAAAGAGAGAGAGGGAAGGAAGAATGGAGAAAGAGGGAGGGAAGAAAGGGATAGTGAGAAAGAAGAGGGCCAGGTATGGGCCTGGGTTTGCCCCTACCTGATTTAGAGCCCTTTGTGATGATATATTTAGAGCCCTTTATGATGATATATTTGCTGCTAACATGGTCTTAAAATTCATGTTTAGTTGCTATGTTGTCCCTGTGGTTAATGTGAATTGTTTTGAGAACACCTAGGGAAGAGAGACAAGTGGTGTGAACAACTATTTGAAAATACAATGCTGAAAGAACTATGTAATAATACAGTTCTGAAATAAGAAGGCTGTAATAAAGGCGCATCTGTCTTGCCCCATGTGGTCTGCTCTGTTGTTCTGTATAGGGCTGGCATTTGCTTCTTAGTAAGAATAATGCTGCACTTCTAGGAGTCTCCAAAGGACACCATATATTTTATCTCTTAATCTTAAAAATGTTCACTTAAGGTAAGATGGTGTTGTGATTGCACTCGTATGTCACACATATGCCAGAGGTATAGCTCAAAGGATAATGACAGAATGGTGCCTTGTCCAAAGTCTAATTTTCCTGTTTAGCCCTACCCCTTAGCCGTTGTGCTACCACAGCTCTTACTAGGTGAGCTCCTCTTTCTTGCCAGGCAGCCAGATGTAGCTTTTCCACCTTGAACATAAATGAACCACAGGCATTTTAAAAATAAATACACGTGACATTTGCTCCCAAAACATTTGTTAGTAAGTAGAATTTGCCTTGTTATGTCACAGCAGGGAGGTCAGGGGCTTATTTGCTTCTGTGCTGCAGAAGCATGGTGCCTTTCCCTCTTTCATCAGTCCAATTCCTTGGCGGATTGCCTGTGTTCAGTGCTTTTTCCATGAGACATAGTCTTAGTGGGAGCGCCCCTCAATTAATACAGTATACCTTTACATTATCTAGAGGCCAAAGGAGCATTGACTATTTCAGCCAGCAGTGCCTGCAAAACAGGAAAGGAATAGTGTTTTCCTGCCAGATTCACTTTCTCCCCATAGTTGGTTTGTATTTTCTGGCAGAGCGGCAAATTCTTCAGTTCACATGTGGGTCTTTGATGAGAAGCTGCTATGATTGATCATTACTTTCTGCCTCTCGTCATTCCTGTTTCCTCCAAATCTTCCAGTCTTCCACCAGGTTCTTGTCTTCTATTTGCTTAATGTGGAGCCCCCAG